GAGTTCTGCATCTTAATGATTAGTGATTTCTATTTAATAACATCTTAAAATATTCTTAATAAAGAGAGAAATAGAATATTCTAACAGTATTTGTATTTTAAGAGCAACAAAAACAATAGCTATGTAAACCTGCTCATTCAAAAAACGATATAATTACGGTGTTGAGAGTATAATTATAGGATTTTTGAGTTATATGATGTGCACACCTTTGTTACTGGAGGAAACGATGTATTGAATCGAGAAAATTATAATATATTACCACATTGCGAAAAAGTTATGCTAAAAATGTTGTACTTTTCCGATGTATTTTTCAATTTATATTATACTGACAATTTTATGCTAATTAAAATTATCGGTATGTAATTTATTTTCAATGAAAACAGCTATATCTTCGGTTTTAAATGACTTTAACAGTTTTTTTAAAAATTAAATTGAATGTAATTTTGTGCTCTTTAAAGCAACATGTTTATGAGTTTGATTTAAAATGAGTTTAGTAGGTTTTTTAAGGTTTTTAGGTAAAATTTTAAGGTTTTTAGGTAAAATGAAAAGAAAAACAATAATTGTTCCTGTTCTTTTGTGGTATTTTACCGACGAAAACAATATTTACAGGCTTTACAGAGGTTTAAAAATGCATCTATAAATTTTTAGATAAAAAAACCGGATTTTTATCTAAACTTGGAATTCAACATAAGTTAAGCCGTAAGTATAAGTTTTATTTCGACTATATACCTTCCTGGGCTCAATTTTTCATACTAATGAACTCAGCTGTTCTTGGGAAACTTGGGAAATAAGGGACACTTTAATATATATGGAGCTTGTCACAGTTCGTAACGATGAACCATTAAGCAGAAGGAACGCTTGCGATAAAACAATATGCTACATAATTACGCTAGCTATATACTTGTAGTGCATACGTAGATATATCGTTAACGGCTAGGAGCTTTAAAGTAGAATCTCATTTTTCGATTCAACCTTCTATTTGCGCGCAATAATAGCTGATAAAATGAATTTAACCATTTCGCGTGTTTGTGCAAGGTACGATAAAATGATCAAAAGAATGTATATCGATAAGGAGAAAAGGTATAATATATAAATCAAGCTCGAATAACATTGTTGGGCAGTAAAATGATACCAATAACGAGCTAGTAGTCTATAAAAATTGTATTGACAAATTTTTGTGTTCCGTGTTTTTTATTTTCTAGTCACAAAAAAAAGAGAAGGAAACATGTACACGAACACAGGACATCAATAACGCTGGTGAGCCGTAAAAAACTGAAAGTACGCATCGACGAGCAGCGACTCTATGCAGCGTACATAGATGCATAGCGAGTGCGGCAGAATTCGAGATCTCGAGGATAAAGTTTGTGTGCGCGCGCGCCTATCCCTGCGCGCTGCCCTTGACCATGTTACAACGTGTGCGACGGAGAAGCGAGCGTATCCTTCCGCGGCAGTAGCATCAGCCGGAGCGAAAAAACGGGTGTGGATTCGCAGCGGCGCGGAGAGAGTCAGAGAGAGTCAGAGAGAGAGAGACCCGAGATTGTTACGTGTACTCTTACGTGTACACTTAAGTGTGTACTTAAGGTCAATATTTGACTATCTGCATGTGGTGTACTATAGTAGTGTGTGGACGAGAAACACATGACTTTATATTCGCGCCAGTATTTGCACGCGTTTTAAATCACATACATATATACTGCACACGCACGCCAAAACTCGAGTGTATGTATAGGAAAATGTATGCAGAGAAAATTGAATCGAATACGCGTGCTTGCGCCTCAGTTCTATTTTATATACGCACGCGTATCGAGGATACCGCGATCCAAGGAGATGAGCTTTCTTACCCTGAACTTTGGCGTATAGCATGTGTTTTATAAGTATACATGCACGCACACGTCGATCATGTCTCGGTTTTTTCATACGAATACGCCAGCTCAGACAGGAGCGGAGCATACGTGGGTAATACCAAAAGAGAACGCAGGCTCTTTTCCGCCCTCGGGCTTTTCCTTGCCTCTCGATGCTACTCTCGAAAGCGAATAATTGATATCTCGATGCAGGCTCATTTTTTCTTACCGCGCACGCCAGTCTTTGTAATTGACGTCGGATGAAACGCTATTTCACCGCAGCAGCAAGCAAACTGAGACTCTTCCAAATTACCTCTCGTTCGTAGACACGTTTTTCCATTCTCTGTAACGCGTAAAAGCTTAACGTGCTTTTTACCAGTTTTACGAACTCACTTATACTTTCAATTCTATTGGTAGGAAGTAGAATATTACGTTGCGAGGCGGCAAGAAGTAGGATATTACAGTCGCTTAGTGTATTGCCTCGGTTCAGTTTCGGACTGTGAACACGCGACTGTGATATCTTGCTTCTCAGCCCCGCAACGGATACTATATTTCTTGATACGCGGTCGAAAGTTAGAAACTCCAAATAATAATTACACATACATTGAGAAAAAAAAATCATTAAAACAATGAAAATTTCATTGATTCACAAAATTATTTAATTAAATACAATCTATGAAATAATTTCATTGAAATAATCTTTTTTATTTTATTGCATGAATGAAATTATTTTGTTAAAATTATGAAATAATTCATTCATTAAATAAAATAAATTTATTAGATTCGGTGCGTCCACAGTAGCCATGTTATTCGGGGTATCACTGACATAGCTGGAGCTTCGATACAAATAAAGCTGAGAACAATTAAAGAGAGTAATATGATTATTGCCAGATGCTTATTTAAATTTCTTTTTTTAATTGTCCCCGACATGGTCGTAGGCTTGAAGGTCAGCATTGTCCCTGGTGTTCTCCTACGCGCACTCATTTAAAATTTTGTTTTTTAGAACGCATTCGAGTCGTAATAACCTAGGCTTTTAATTGATTCGCATCTCGGGTTCGAACCGATTAAAACCGGGTTTAATCCTGAACCTTGGTGTCAAACCAGGTTTTTAACTAGATTTAATCTTAGTTTTAATCTAGCTTTACCACCGGTATTCCATCGGATTTTCACCGGCTTTATAACCGGGTTTTAACCAGTTTTATATGATATTTTAAATCTGGATATCAACCAGTATTCTATCGGGTTAAAGCTCGATTATGTACCGGTTTTTAACCCGGATTAAACCCGGATTTTTACTCGCAATTGCCAATTAAATCGGCGCTCAACACAAATGGTTACATTCTTACCTTTCAAAGAAAATATAAATATGCTACTCTTTGTTAAAATGTTTCAATAAAGAATATACTATAGGTAAACTGTATTCATTCATATTTATCATATGCTCAATAGATGGGTCAAAACTACAATACTTGGTCATTTTGCCACTAACTATCCAACAACTGGAACGTTTACCCTATGTTTTGACTAACTATTGACTAGGATATGATGAAAAAATTTTTTCAAGTAGCACTGAGGGAGTTTGGTCAGGCACGTGAAAAGTTGAGCTCCATTCAAGCTTGCATACATACCTACGATCGCTCTGCACACATTCAACAAGTATCGCTCGTACTCTAACGCCTGTAAAATCGTCTTGGAAAAATAAACAGAAGCTGAATGGGGCTCCTGCCAACTTATATTACAACACAAAAGTCATCTTCTGACGACGTGCATAAAACCATCTTCAATGCCACGTCCACCAAGGATCGGTATACAAACTTGCGCATGCATACACGTGCCCTACACCTATAAAAGTGAAGAAAGAGAGAGAGAGAGAGAGAGAGAGACTCAAGAGACGTTGACGTAAAATATGACGATGAAGCGCAGTAGAGTAGAAAATAGTGGCAGTGTCGGATGCTGCCAGTTGACATGATTTCGAGTCTCGGGGCCAACACACTGACTACCAATTGTTCTACACGTGTGTCTGCGCCTTCCGAAGTCGCTTTTATATGACTTTTGCACCGGAGATATCGATGAATATAATTAGATAATATTTAGTCAGCATGCCGAAGCTCCCCTCGATAAAATTGTGTTTTGATACACATTTGGGTTATTGAAACGAATTTTTGAGGTAACGCGGGTGTATTTGTGGTCAGTCTGTATTTCCTCTTGTGTAATCGAAATTCGGGATCAAATTTGATCTTTATTAATTATTCAGCTTTTAAATAGCGAAAAAAGCAAATTTCCGACTTTAATTTGAAAAAAAAAAAATGAAGCACGAATGGCGCTTGGTAATGTCGAGATTCGGTTGCAGGTCCAAATAAACATAAAAATTAGCCCTAGTTAGGGAGGAAAGCTGGGAAAAATGTTCAAGTGGCAAAAGCGCCCGGACTAATATAAAGGCGCATTTGTATAAACACAGAGACTCCCTGGCCAAAATTGGCGCATGCGTTGGAGGGTTAGGATCGGGTGCACAGGTGTGTACGCGGCGCCGCTAACGGCTCGACGAGGCGCCGTGCAACAGCAGCCTTGATAGTAGTTGCAGCGCTGGCATAAGCCCACGTCGCCTGCACCAGCCTATATATATGCAAAGAGCTGATTACAAGTGTGGGTGCGGGTGTAGGTTGTCGTGGTGAGAAGAGGGGCACAGCGCTAGCTAGCTAGGTAGATAGGTGAGTAGGTAGAGACTGCAGAGAGGTAGGTAGGCGGGTACAGCGCTCGAAAGGGAGTAGGAGGAGGAGGAGGAGGATGGGGGTGGTGGCGGCAGCGGCGAAAGAAAGAGAGAGAGCGAGTGAGCGAGAGAGAGAGAGAGAGAGAGAGAGAACATTTTGCCTTGTGCTTTGCGCCTCCACACGCGTTCTACCTATAGCCTCCCCTCTACATCTCATTCTCTCGCTCCGTCTGATATACACAAACATATATGTATACGCGAATGAATGTATGGAGAGTAAGCGAGTGAGACGCATATAGATATATATGCAAAAGCTGTGGGGGTAGCAAAAAAGAGAGGAAGAGAGAGAGAGAGAGAGAGCGTGCGCGTGTATGTACCGCGTATATATGATGCGATCGGAGTACCGCGCGCTGCTCACGACGAGAGCCAGTCGTCGGCTGCAGGAAAAAGAAATCCTTGCACGCTCGCGTACGCGTTTAGTAGCTGGCCGATAGTCTGGCCGGCAGTCCTCCGCAGAGTAGTCGTGTATACCTCGCCGCATCGCACGAGACAGTAGTTGTAGAAGTAGTAGTAGTAGTACTATAGTCGAGCGTGTATACAGTAGAGCGAGTATAATACAGTGCTGCTGGCGCCGCTGCTCGAGTCCGACGTTTTGTTCGGCCGTGCGCGACGACAACTATATAATACGACCACTTGAAGCTGCTGTTGCTGTTGCCTGTTGTCGCGTACATCCAGTACGACTGTGCGTGTGTCACCACCGCCGCTGTTCAGCCGCTGTCTCCGCCGCCGCGCCGCTACTCGCCGAGCTTCCCACTTACATACTTCTCTCTGACCTTAAACGCGAGAGCGACTCTTCTTTTCGCTGTTCTGTGCTGTGCTACTAAGTCAGTTTGTTGCACCATGCGCATCATGCGGCTCCCGTTGCCCGGTAAACGTTTATTTTTAGCCTTGGTGATTTAGTCTCTGGTCTCCCCGAAAAGCTCGTGCTCGCGCGACTCTCTATCTGTACATATCGTCGTTGTTGTGATGATACGAGTGCGCAAAATTATCTAATAAACGAAGCTGCAGTGGCTTGGCCTATTGCTACTGCTCATGCCGTTGTTATTACTGAGCGAAGAAAGCAACTACCGTCACCACTTCCACGACTACTACTGCTGCTACTGCTGCTGCTGCTGCTGCTGCTGCCGTTATACTTCTCTGACGGACGGGCAACAGGTGAGAAGTTCCTTCTATGTCTATATAAACGCATGTGAACGTTTTCTGCCTCTTGAACCTTTGAGACTACTACTGCAACTAGCTACCAGCACTGTGCTATGCAGAGACAGGCGGAATTTCATAATTGTTTGCCTGCTCGTGCGTTAACTCGACTCGAAAATTAAAATGCATCTCTATCGTAAGAGGATTTTAAACGATCTTTTATACGCTTTTTCGACTCGAGTTTCCAAGCGAATTTTCAAAACTTTCAATGTGCTCGAAAATTACTTTCCAAGCTTCGAGTAATTTCATCGTCACGAGCTCGAATTTTATCACTATACATTGAGCATGATTAAAGGTCAAAATATCGTGCGTATGCAGTTTGATGCTTCAAATTTTCTTTAATCAATTGTGGTTTCAGCATTGTTCGTTTAATATTCTATCAATTTAATGCTCGCTGCTTTTTTCGAAAGGATATAACGAGATTTTACACGTAAAATTCGTTTTTATTCAGTAATGAATGAAGTTATAACGTACAAAAAATATTTCGATGGCCATAACAAATTCAAATGTGAAAAAAAACCCGTATCGTAAAAAGTGCAAAAACGATCGGAAACAGATATAGGTGGAATACATGTATACTTTAGCCACAAAAGATTACTCTCGAACTCGAGCAACATTTTCAATATAATCTCACTTAATGCACATCAGAGCAATCGTTGCTCTTTTTTTTCGCTTTATTATTTGGTTTTTCCGCAAGCGCTAGCCCTGGACAAGAATATCAACCACAGGATAGAAGTAAAAATATCTTCTCAATTCATTCACAGGAATCAGACTTTCGCGTTCTTTCCATCGATCTCCCTCTTTCTTCTATACAGATAAGTGTTCTCGCTAAACATGAAAAATGGCCAGAATAATCCAGAAAGCTTATCTTTGAATTCGGTATTTATCGTGTCTATGCTAGCAGTAAAGCCAGTGCCACTTGTCAGAGTCATTACTGCGATTAGTTATACGCGCTTGTACACATCGATTCTCGTGGTCTTTTGTTTCAAAGTGTAGTCCATAGCCATTGTGCGATCATCTCGATATTGCAGCGCTTCGCTCGTGAGAGATTTGAATAGGTTTTAATTTGAAAAAAAAAACGAAAAACAATTGATGCATCGGCACGTGCCTCTCGGATGCTGCGCTGCTGCTCTTGCGTATACACTCAGCCTACGTAGGCAGGCAAGAGCGAGAGCTGTGTGCAATGTGTATATGATAATAAAGTGAACGACGACGACGACCAAGTCGAGGCGGCCTTGTATCGAACAACCGAAGTCAAGGTTCCAGGAGGAAAAGGAGGATTTGCATTTTAATTAAGGATGCGCGTCTCGTAGTGAAAGCTCACTGTACGCATACATATAGACATAGATATTTAATACGTTATATGTATTTATATGTATAGGTAAGATTTATATCTACGCGTATAAACGTAGCAAGTAGCAGTAGCAGCCCCCGTAAGGAACAAGATCAGCGAGTATATGAAGCTTATTATAGAGTAGAGTAGTAGTTACGAGCTGGGTAAGCTCCTTCTCGCTCTCTCACTCTCATCTACATTCTGCAGGGCTATATTTGCCTCAGACATTAGATGAAATTGAATATTTCTCGAGTATGTGATCAGAGGAGCATCTTCGCGACTGGATATTATCGATTTTACACTTAAAAACGACTTGAAAATTGAAACTCGAAGCTTTGAGCGCCGTTGCGCTGCCGTTGTGAACTGTATATGTTTGTTGCCAAACAACCAAATCATCCCTATGCTCACGAATGTGGCTATTTTTTAACATAGCTAATATAGTATATTAAAGTAAATATAGTTGTAATTTTATATTTTGAAAAAACATATTCATCGATGAAAATGACTTTCGACAGATTCACGTATGCTAAGTAGTGAAATAGAATTTGATAATTTGAGAGTTGTTACAATGTACGACTAAAAATGTTGACAATGAGGTTGTTGGCTAGATTCAGCAAATTCTATTTGAGTTTCAGAAAAAAAGATTTAAAAAGTAATGTTCGTAAAAAAGACTTACCGAGCTACGCGTGAAATCGTCTCAATTTTCAATAATTACCATCATGCATTCGAGGCAGCGTGTAAAATCTATTAAGCGGATTTAGCCGGCGTTTATTATACTGCGAGGTTTTTGCTCTGTATGGATGCAAATATTTTCATTTGATTTGACCTGTAGCTCTAACTGGCAAAGTTCAAATGATGCGTGAATTTACGTGCGTGTTCATACGTCGAAGGTATAAGCGTAAAAAGAGCGGCCTTACGCGCGCCCGATCTGTTTCGGAAAAATATTTGCGAATCGCAGCCTCGCACGAGTGAAATGGCAATTTATAACGGCCTGGATATGCGCGCGTGTCCAGGCATAGATAAAAAATGACGCCCGCGCGAAAGATTTTTCATTTCTCTTGGCTGTTGGCTCGTTTCCTTGGCTCGTCGTTCAACTTTCTCCGCTGTATACACACACCACTCGCAGTTGGCTACCCTCGATGAATATTTCACGGGGCGCTATTGTACTTGGAATTACGCACGCGTACCATGAATATATATGTTTATACATGCTTAGCCACCTGAAACGAACACAACGCGGGAGTTTTGCACCTAATGCTTGCCTGTACCAGTTCTCCCTCTTGCGAGGAGCTGGCTCCAGCTTCTCTGTGGCGCGTATACGCGGCGTATATTCGAGCAAGCTCGAGCTTTCCTGCATAGTAGATAAGCTGATGAAAACTCTCTAAGCCCCCAAGACCGCCCGTCAACGCGCGCGTGCCAACAGGAATATTGAATTTTCGCATTTTTAAGGCATCGAGGCGAAATTTTAATGTATCTATTTGCCAGCTAGTACTAATATTTTCCAGGTCGGAGCATTTTTTCCCCTTTTTTTCCTCCATATATGCGGAATAACAAAACGATTTATGTTAAAAGTTCGAGAAAAGCCAGCACATGTAGATTACCGTTGCATTACCGTTACAGCACCGAGTTTTATCATCTCAACTACTTTTCCAGTCTGCGAAAGTTAACGATATATACCTGCGCTGCAGTTTCCATCGCGTACAGCACTGCGAGCTCGGGCAAAACAGCCTTGTGAAATATGACGACGACGTTGCTCCTCCTGCTGCTGCTGCTGCTGCTGCTACTGACGACGATGACAGCGATCTTATCTTTTTTCACGACAACTTTCTCGATTTACGCACTATCGCGGGCGACAACCACTCTCGTTCCCTAAAAACAAACGATTTTGTTTTTTGTCCTACAGTACACAAAAACAAAAGATGTCAAACGAAAAAATGCATAGCTTGTCAGTTTTTAGCTTTACACCATTGCAGCCAGATGCGGCAAGGTACGAGAGAGGCAACAGCGCAATGCTATATGTATACTTGTGACGTAAATAAAATGAAAATCGTGGCGCACGCAGAACTATAAAGCCATAGAAAAGAGAGACTGAAAAGTGAATAAGCAAGCGAGTGTGTGTGTGTTCGAGTAGTAGCTGGCGAAATGGTTTCATTCGATTCTCAACGAAGCTCGCGTATCCTGGCAAAAGTACACATATATACATGTACGTGACATCAGAGTAATGGAACGTCATAATGAATAGAAAGAGATTCTGCTCCCGGTGCCTATACCTATATTTGTATATATGCGTGCGTTTGAAAATAGAATGATGCTAAAAATAGACCGATGATTGCACGGAAAAAAGTTATGTAGTTAATTAAAATGATTATTTCATTTCTGCTGTTGCTGTCGTTGAACGCTCTCACGGGGAAAGAGTTTCAATTTTCCGCGTAACTCGCTTCAAGTTTCCAAAAGGTTATTCCTATTTGACATTTCATTCTCTCCCTCTCTCTGTCTCTTTTTATTTATTTTTTTCACTCGCCGGTTAAGCTGTATCTTTGTTGAAAAGAAAATACTTGCGATAGCTATGGCTATTAGAAAACTTTTCTTATTACTTTCATTCGGTTTAATAAGGATTTTGAGTCGCGTCGGTGCGTGTAATGATATCGAAGTGCGTACGAGCTCGATAAAAATCGTTATCATTATCTCGATTCTCGACTTTTTAACAGGTACGTTGGTATATCGTGAATCCCTATATACATTTCTATTATACGCCTGGTCGAAGATTCCGTTCACCTTTAATTGGAATTTTAACGCTCCAAAGCACTACAAGCTGAATGTAGTACTGTTAAAAGCAAAAATCTTTAACTTTTGCTTTGTAATCTTTTTTCGCGAAGAAATCATAATTTTTTTAGAGATTTATTAAAACGAATAGCGAGATATTTTTCTAATTTAAGATTTTTATAATATTTTCTACATTTTCGAAAGCTCGTTAAGATGTAGCTAGCAGTAAACGGAAAATTGTTGTAACGTATAATTATAAATGGTTTAGAATTTCGCTTGTGAACGAGCTTAAACAGCGATGGAAGCTTACAAAAGTGATACGCTAGGAAGTGATCTGGGAAAAATTGAACCGAGCCGACAAGAAAAGCGTGAAAAATTTTTTCGTGACACGCATACACGGCGCTTAACAATAAAGCTTGAAACGAGCTTGACAAATGAAGAGGAAAAATGAAAAATTATTTGGACGATAAAAAAAGTCAAATGGATTTCCCAAAAGACTGATATATAAAATGGAAAAGAGATTGAAATTACAGTTTAGTTGGTGTAATGTTAAATTAATTTATTTTGAAGGTTTGCTTATGATACTTGATGGCTTTGTAATGGGCGTAACGAAATATTTTCGTAGCAGCTTTTATTAGTAACGAGTATTGGGCAATTTGTCTCAATTTAGGAATAATATCGATAAATTTGAATTAGCATGGACATTAGCACATACACGCTTGACTATAATGCCGGTCTAGAATCGTAATAGCATATGCATTAAGTTACGAAGCTTCAATAAGTTTAACACATCGCCATGATGATTTTACTGAAGAGTCCACTCCATATTTCGTTTTATTTAAAAATCAAAGCTCGCTTATTT